AAAAATACACACATTAAGATAAAAATAAATAGCTAATTGAACAAAAATGAAATAAATGAACAACAAAGAATGATGTTTTGGATGGAAAAATAGCAATTGTCACAGTCTTTAAGGCAGTATTCAGGCAACATCAGAAAGCTTGAACTAAACTAAAGCAGGATGTTGAAAACATATGGAGTATGATTTCTTCTGCATGATTATATGGTGATTTCAGTGAGCGGCTGCAGCCTTCAGTGAATCAGTAAGAGTCTCTGTTGAACTAAGAATATACGCTGACCTCTTTTCTCTCTTCTCACTGTGATGCTCAGAGAGCTTTCGAAGAGCACAGACCAGGTGCATTGTGGGAAATGTGAAGCAAAGGCTGAACTTAATTCATGAGCCGTGAAAGACCAGAATATCTACAGAACCGCCAATGGACAAAAACCTACCAACACTGGAACATTTTTAGAGAATGTTTTGTAGTGAACATTGTGTAAAATACACTAGTGGTCACTATTATTATAAGTGAACAACTGCTAATTAATCAAGTGGCAGCAGCTCAATGCACACATTTATAGAAAATATATCCAGTATAATGATAAATCAGGATTATTTCGGCCATCAACCTGCTTTTTTCAAATTCAAATTTTCAAATTCAAATTTTCAAATTCAGGTCTGTGGACCACGGGGCTAGAAGACGGCATGAAGGGATTAATTAAAACAAATAAAAAAAATTAAATTAAAAGGTACTGAATCTGCTAAGAAGTTAAAAGAAAAATATTCTAAAATGAAAATAAATTAAGATAAATAATTAAAACAAATTAATTAAAATGTAAATAACATTAAAAGGTACTAAAGGAGCTGCTGAAAAGTTGTGTAAAATGCAAATAAATAAATATACCAAATAAAGTAAATAAAAATAAACAAAGGGCCTGCTGGAAAAGTTAAATGAAAAATAGTAAATAAACATTATAATAAAAATACATATTAAAATTACAACTACAAATTAACAAATTTAAAAAAATTAAAATGTACATAAAAAATAAATACAAAAATTAATAAAGATTAATTAAAAACAATATATATATATATATATTCTTCTGACAGCCATAGTTTATACATCTAAAAGTACTGCTGCTTTAATAGGACTTTTCAGTGCTTTTTTTTTTTTTTTTTTCACAGTATAAAAGGGTCTTTATGCATGAAAATATACATCTATCGATCTTTCTAAAATATACATCTATTTGGGTATCCATGGCATCTGGAAAACTTCTGGTGTCAGTCGTTGAAAAACCAGAAACCCAAACACAAGCAGACAAGATCTGCACACATGGAATCAGAGCCTCAACAAGACCAAAACCAGTCGGATCTCTGCTGACTCGCCATTAGCTGTCAACTCTGTGTAACATGTCAACAATATTCACAAAGAGCTCAGTGCAAATGATTCATAAAGCTCACACGCAGCGAGAGGAAAGATCAGGTGTGATGAAGATGGACGAGATGGACAGCAGTGACGAAGAGCTCTGTTCTGATACGATGATGAAATCAGGCTAATGAAAACCCCTGCCGTCATTATCAGAAGCTCTGAATGATGCTTTGACGAGCCTGTCATCAGTTAACGACAGAAACTTCTGAGTCACAAACCTGACTAATTTAGCAGCTCACAAATCACAACACCTCTTCACGCTGAGCAAAACAACTACTGTATGCATGCAACACTCCTAATGCATTTACAACAAAACACACCCACAATGCAGTGCGCCTGACTTGACCTTCCATTTCTAGTGTGATGAATCAAGAATCACAGAATTGGGGCAAAAATACATTATTTATTTCCTTACTACTTATCTATCTGGACATCACATGCTGTATTAAACATGCAACATCAAGAGGTCATGTGACAACAATACAATATACTACTATTTAAGGAAAAAAAAAAGAAACCAAGAAAGAAACAAATTTGATTTAACACTTGATTAAAATAGTATATATATATATATATATATTTATACAATTTATTAGGATATACTACAGTAAGTATAACACTTACTGCAGGCTAAGTGTTTTAAACCGAACGCATGCATGTAATGCACTGGCGAGTGTGTGTGTGTGTGTGTGTGTGTGTGTGTGTGTGTGCTCTTCTGCACCTGGCTATTGAGATGAAAGCAACAGTGTCAGAATAAAGGCCTGTGGCTGGAATCATCAGCTTTATAATCCAGACTGACTGTGATCTACTGCCAGCACAGCTGCACCCAACAACAACACACACACACACACACACACACACACACACACACACTGATATATGTGGTTTATGGGGACTCTCCATAGGCAAAATGTTTTTTATACTGTACAAACTGTATATTCTATCCCCTAACCCTACACCTACACCTAGAAGACTGACCGTAGAAGACGGCCGTTTTCACTAACTGTTATAGCGTCTCTTGCGGCAACACTAAAAATGCACATACTGATATATTTAAATGCAAACGTGAAATCATGCACATCTACAACAGCAAGTTCACATATTTGTATATGTAGTATGTTTCGATCTTATTTGTGCCATCTGCAGATCTGAGGACAATTCTGATTTAGTGAATTGATTTTTATGCAAGCAATAGATCAATTGCAAATATTTCATTATATTATAGCAGATTTTGCCTTATGGATACAAGTGATTCGATCAGATGGAAAGGCATGGTGAAGACCTGAAATAATCTAATTAAGCATAACATAATCAATTATTACAATAATAATCAATAAATTATACAATAAATAATGTATTTAATCAATATTAATACAATAAATAATGTCATATAAATGCAAAACAATGCAAAGTACAATTTTAAAATACATACATAAATACAAATGAAACTAAATAAATTCATTAGTTCAAAATAAAACATTGATAAAATAAAATTGTATTAATTAAAATAAACTAAATAAAATGAATAAAAAATATAAATAAAAACAAATTAATTTTGTTCTAAAAGTGGCAATAATACTATGCATACGCTTAAGTTTAGTTTGAAGCAATTATTAAAATAATAATATTAATAATTATACATATATATAAATATACATAAATGTAACAATTAATAAAATTAGTATTAACATAATCAATAATAATACAAAAAAATAATATGCAATGCGTAATGCAAAGTGATAAATATAAAATAAATATATTTAAAATAAAATAATAAATATGCAATTTAACTAACTAAAAGTTATTTAATTTAAATAAAAATGACTAAAATATATATGACTGGAATGATTGAAATAGATAAGAAATTAATACATTTGACTAATATATTAATGAAAATGGTGACTGGGAAGTTTTGTTCAATGCACATGTAAACAAATATGCGAGTCGGTTTGCAGCGTTTAGGGTTCATATAAACACAACTTTGAGAATCGGACGTCAGACTGGATTCCTGTCTTTGATGAAAATGAGTGCATGTAAACATGTCTACAGTCAGACGATTTCTCTGCATACTACAACAGCACGCTCAAATGTGAGTGAAGAGCATCAGATCAGTGAGTGAACATGACCGTGCGCGGCAGATGAGAGCAGCAGTGTTTGGGTCAGAGACCGAGACTGAGAGCTGTGAACAGAACGCCGCAGAGAGACCATCTGTCTGACGGCCGCGGGGCACTACGACCAGCACCGCTCATGACCGGAGGAGATATTAATAGATAAACTCACCATATGTCACATCACGACACTTTCTGTTAGCGCTGAACGCAAACCTGTCACTATTCAGACCACGGTAACACAGCAGACTGTAGAGTATGTACTGTACAGAAGAAAAAACGTCAAAAAAAGTATCTTCTGCTCACCTAGGCTGCATTTATTTGATCAAAAATACAGTAAAAATTTTGAAATATTTTTTGAATTGAATCTCTGTTAAACTGTAATTTATTTCTGTGATGCGCAGCTGTATTTTCAGCATCATTACTCCAGTCTTCAGTGTCACATGATCTTCAGAAATCATAATAATATGCTGATTTGCTGCTCAAGAAACATTTCTGATTATTATCAATGTTGAAAACAGTTGTGCTGCACAATATTTTTGAGGAAACCGTGATACATTTTAATTTTCAGGATTATTTGATGAACAGAATGTTCAAAATAACAGCATTTATTTACATTAAAAATGTTTTTACTGTTGTTTTTGATCAATTTAATGCATCCTTGCTGAATAAAAGTATATATTAAAAAAAAATCTTAATGACCCAAACTTTTAGTTCAAAAGAACAGCATTTATTTGAAATAGAATTATAAAATTATATGTAAAATTATAAATTTCTTTAATGTGACTTTGATGAATAAAAGTATTAATTCCTTTAAAATACAATATATCTTATTGACCAAAACCTTTATCTTTAGACAAATTTACACATATATATATATATATATATATATATATATATATAATAAAAAATATTTAAATATTTTAAATTGTATTTGTTTACTCCGTATTGTTTTAAACATAAAACATTTTAACATTTTTGTTACATTCATGGGAAAGAAAAAAATTAATTCATGATATATTGTCTGAAAACAATAAATTTTGCAAATGCAACAAATGCAATTTTGCTTGAAGTAAATGCTTTTTTTTTTGTGCGTTTTAAGGAAGTGTGCTAATTATAAAAAAATGTATATGTGAAACAATATGCATTAGGGAACGGTAAACGTTTCAACATTATATGTCACATAAGCTCTCTACGTTATGAGTGCATTGCATTATGGGATACGTTGCATATTTTGCACATTTTTGCAATGCACATTTCCGTGCATACAGAGTTTGCTTTGTGTTATACTATATGTGTATAATTTGCGACGCGTGCATACTGCACGCTACTTTCTTTCAAAATTAATAATTAGTATGGACTTATATGCTTTCCAGGCCCCACTTTTTCTGAACACACACGATTTTTAAGCCATGCAGGCTGCAAAAGAGATGACTAGTGCTTTGTGGGTTTAAAAACGACATGAACTTGTGTGTCTGAGCTCTTACCTTGTGTCTGCACTTCAGGACGACACCGTAAGCTCCTGCCAGAGAAACACAGAGAAACAAACAGGTTTTACTCAAACGTTCACCCAGCTCCACCTGTCTTTGTGAACACGACTCTCAGCAGATGCCAAAACCCTGAGCGTTTTGTGGCTGATGAATGAAGCGAGTGAAGGCGAGGCCGTCACCTAAGCACACAGACGTGACCGAGACAGAGAAACGTTCAGGGAACTGTAAGAACATCCCGTTTTCGGCTTGAGACCTGTGGGACACGAGCACAGCCAACGTGTTTGTTTAATCAGCGGAATTCATTAGAAATCTCATACGAGCGCGTTGAGCCCAAACAATCTGCAAGCTGGCGCTCAGGTGTCTGTAAACGCGAGTGTTTTTGATGGAAGAGTCTGTGCGTCGTGCATTCGCTCCGGTTTTGGCACCACGGATCATATCTGTGGCACAAATCGACTGTCCCGCAGGAGACGCAGAGCTGAGCTCATCCCAAACTCCCAGCCAACAGATCCGGGCCCACATCACGTCACGTTCACCACAACCTGCTCGATGTGAAGAGATACACAGCGGCTTACAGTGTACATTAGAGCTGCTTTGTGATGGACAGAATCATAATCATGATTATTTTGGTCATTGCTGAGTTGACGATTATTAATCATTGACTCGTTCACGCATCGTGCATTTAATTAACTTTTTTTTTAAATGTTAAAAAAATAAATAAAAAAATAAATCTTAATGACCCCAAACTTTTGTTTGCACATGTAGCCTATATATATATATATATATATATAGATTTGTACATATTATATCTTCACATTGTTTATGCATTATATCTTATCATATATATATATATATATATAAGATCAAATCAAAATGAATAATAATCACTTCCACCTACTGAAAACTACTAAATACTGAATTAAGGACCAATTAAATAAAACAATACATAAAGGACCAATTAAGAGCACGTCACTAAAACTATTAAAAATCATTTTCATTAAATGAAAATGACATAAAATAACTATAAAAATATGTATCGCATAAAAAACTTAAACCTAAACACAAATGAGAAATGCTGACAACTAACGCAAATAAAAGAAGGTTGATAAGTTAAAGACGACAAATTACTAAAACAAACTAAAATACAACAAAAAATAATGTAAAGCTAGGCAGAAATATTTTGTGAAAAATAATGAAAAATGACAAAAACACTAAAATGTTAAAAAAACAAATTAAAACTGAAAATATAAAAATAAAAGCTAATAAATATTAATAAATACTATAATAGTATATAAACAATACTAAAATAACTCTGGATGACACTGGGGTTTTATTATTTGAAAAATGAAAGAACAAAGAGTCAGAAAGAAGCTAAAAGAGGCAAACAGTCGTGAAAGTCTGAAATAAATATGCAAACAAATTCACTTTAAACATAGACAGATTCTTCCAGACAGGCGCTGGTTTGAATGCAGACAGATTTCAAGGCAGAACAGAAGAACATTTTGATGGAGAGGAGAAATCTGGATTAACTGAAGAACTCAAAGCTTTAGCTTGATTTTTTCCCCCAAAAAAGATGATTCATATGATTAACGATGATGGACTCACTGATTCATATTCTGAGATAAGAAGACGTTAAGATTTGATTATTTCACTGTCATGAATAATGAAAAGAGAAAGACGTTTAAGATGGATCGGGATAGCTTTTACTGCAGGAGACCATGAGAGAGAAAAATCAGACATTAATGCGCTTTAATATCTTAATTAGACAGCAATATGGAGATTTATGAAGTACCCTATTATTATTATTATTATTATCTACAACTAAAACTAAAACTGTTCAAATCATTTTGACTTAATTGAAATGTAGGTGAAATAAAATAAAAAATACATATCAGATGAAAAACTTACTAAAAAGCACTAAAATTGCTAACCAGAAATAAATAAAAAAACTAAAACTGAAATAAAAATAAATAAATCTCCATATAAAATGGCAAAAGCAGATAAAATTACTAACATTTTAACTGAAACTAACAATGAAAACTGAAATGATATAAAATTCATTTAAAGCTACTTCAAAATACCAAAAAATATAAAAGCATATGAATAATACTACAAAATAAAACATGATATTTTAGTATTATTTATATACTATTATAGTATTTTTACTTTTATTTCATTAATATTTTTATTTAGTTAATTTTACCAATTTTAGTACAACTTAAACTTATTTTACTTCATTTCATTTAGATGCAAGTTTTTAATCTAATATTTATTACCTAATATTAATTATTAATATTCTTATTTTAGCTTTATTTCAATTAACAAAAACAATTCTTAATAGTTTTTTTTCCTCTGGAGTTTCAGTAGAGATCTCAACAATGTCTCAGATCTGCTCACGATACCCACAATAAAAAGTCAGAGATCTCAAGATGATTTTATAATTAACCGGACTATTTTTATTTCTCTAACTCTGCAAACAAAGCTGATACTTAAAACATAACTGAGCTGCTGAGCTTGAAAAGAGCAATAAACTCTTCCTCTGGGATCATTTGAATCCTTTGTTTCTCTGAGTCACATTATTTATCCTCTACTTCACAAATGCGATGACATCAGCTGCACTGATGCAAAAGGAGAGGAACACACACACACACACACTCGCGCTGTGAGCATCCTGTGGTGAGACGGCCTGCGTGATGCACATGATCGGCCAGCATCTCCTGAACTCACTGTGTGATAAAGACGTGATGCTGGTAAACTACGCTGAAACCGCCACAGGAGTCTGCCATGTGACTGCTAAACCCCGCCCACTCCTCTGCCTCAGCCAATCAGGAGGAGAGCCACACACGCCTCGACCAATCCGCTGAGGACAGATGATGCGTCCTGCGAGTGTATGACAAGGCAGTGATTCTCCAGACTCGTGTGAAACAGGCTAATCTTCACGACGTGTGTAGCTTAACCTGCTTTTTCCAGAGCCGGAATAGAAAAAAAGAAGAAAAACGAGGCCATAAAGGTGGAACTATGTGACCTGTTTTTACAGGAGCAACAGTCACAGAGACTTCCTCAGCATTTGTTTTCGATTTTTCCTGAATAAGGAGAACATTCAATGAGGACTCAGTGTGAAAATCACTAATAGGCCAAAAGCTTTCTTGAAGTCTTCCTGTGATGTTCATACACGTTTGGAAGTCATAATTATGATCATATTTTGGACAGTTAAACTGGGCACTTTCATGTAAATATGGCAAAATGTGACCCTGGACCACAAAACCAGTCATAAGGGTCAATTTTTAGTACAATATAGTATAGTACAGTGCAGTGTAGTACAGTACAGTACAGTACCGTGCAGTGCAGTACAGTACAGTACCGTGCAGTGCAGTATAGTATAGTATAGTACAGTACAGTATAGTACAATATAGTACAGTACAGTACCGTGCAGTGCAGTATAGTATAGTACAGTACAGTACAGTATAGTACAATATAGTATAGTACAGTGCAGTATAGTACAGTACAGTACCGTGCAGTGCAGTGCAGTATAGTACAGTACAGTGCAGTGCAGTATAGTATAGTACAGTACAGTACAGTGCAGTACAGTACAGTGCAGTGCAGTGCAGTGCAGTATAGTATAGTATAGTATAGTACAGTACAGTATAGTATAGTATAGTATAGTTAGTACAGTACAGTACAGTACAGTACAGTATAGTATAGTACAGTACAGTACAGTATAGTATCGTACAGTACAATACAGTACAGTACAGTATAGTATAGTATAGTATAGTATAGTATATCAATGATACTAAAATAACACTAATTGGAACAACATGAGGGTGTAAATGGGAATAAATATTGTTTGGGTGAAATGTCCTTTTAAAAATAATGCATTGGGCGATAGATGTGTAGAAGTTTGTGAATGACAGACATTTCAGTTCCATGTGGGCCTGATTATAATCAAAACCAATTAACTTCCATCACGCTCCTCTGAAAACCCAGACTTTCCCTCTTAGGACATTCATGTGCACTCATCTCGTAAACACCATCATTCGAAGATCACCTGAAGGCAGAAATATACTGGCATGTCTCAACCAAATCAACTGGCTTTCAATTAGCATTGAGCGGCGAGAGGATAAGCAAAGAAGTCAGGATGGGAACGGAAGAATATGAGAGAGGAGAGCACAGCCGAGAGGAGATTAAACTACTGATGGCCAACAGAGAGAAACTGATCTACTGACAGCAGAACACACATCTGAGAGCATCAGTTAATACACTACCATTGTTTATACACTATTTTGTGTTCATCTGGATTATATTACACAATGACCTTTATAATTATCATCTCTCTCCTGAACCGTGGGCCACTTTCCGTCTGAAACGGATTAGCTGGAGTCACAGATCAACAAAAATCCCCTAATAAAGATCATTATTTATTTACCAAATACCTTAAGACCTTGTGAGTGAATCTTAAGGTAAAATATAAAAAAGATATATGTTATAGTTATCACCATGTTTCCCCAGCTGATCGATTACATCAAGAAATGCAAACATTTTTTTTGTATTGTAAGTATTCTGAAATGTTATAAGTAAATATGCGCTAATTTGCATACATTTCCAGAAAATAAATCTGAACACTGGATAAAGCCAGGTTCAAAATTTCTGTTTGATTTTGTTGACAAATTAGAGTTAAAGGTTTTTACTGAAGGGATTTTGTATTGCTCTTTTTATCAGTCCATAAATCAGAAAATACTGTCAACAGCCAGAAGAAAATCCATTTCCACCATGCTGTTATGAATAAAATGTTATAGAAATCAGTCTGAATGAAATATGAACAAACTGCACAGTAAAAACCTTCAGAATATAGAGAGGAATAAAACTGCTAAGTTTGGTGTTTGTAAGTGCTTCTGAAGTGGAGAAAAAACTTTTAAAGGTATGGATTGTAATTGAAATCTAAAGACGCAAATAGATCAAATACAATAAAATAAACACTTACATGTGTATTTTGGATGTTTTTTCCCACTAGTCTGCAAAAATATTCTGTTTTCACTAAAATGCCAATGAAATTAGACAGAAAGTATGAAAGAAATAGTAAATGATGATAATACAGAAAAAATTACCATGTTTGTAGGAGTAAAATGTTATATAAATCAATTTGAATGATATATGAACAAACTCCTCAGTAAAAACCTTCAGAATATAAATAGGAATAAAACTGAGTTTGGTGTATGTAAGTGCTGCTGAAGTGGAGAAGAAAACTTTTAAAGATATGTATTGTAATTGAAATCTACAGACGCAAATAGATAAAGTGTAATATAACAAACACTTAAATCTGTATTTTGGATGTTTCCTTTCCATTAGTCAGAAACAACACTTTATCAGCCCAAATAGTGCACAATCTTAAAAGTGACCAATGCATGTTTTTGCCTATTTTATGATGACAGATTTTTGGCAATGTGACATTATTTTCACACCCCAAAATTGCATTATTGCAATGCAAAAAATATCTGTAAGATAAGATAAACTTGGACAAATTCTCATTAACATGAGCTAATAAAACAGCATCATAAAAATAATTAGCAAAATGTTGTTTAATTTTCAGAAAGCCACATTTCAGGACAAATTAACTTCCTAAAAGTATTGAATATCAGCTACGCACTTACAATTTTACTTAACAGTTTATTTAATAAATCAATATATCAATAGTTTAAACAGAATTGGTAGAATTAGGGGTCATTTACACACAACACGTTTTTGCATTCAACTGCACTGTTTTTCCATCATTTTTCTATGTAAATACATGTTAGATGGATGTCTTTGAACGCTGAACCCACGTCTCGCATCTTTTGCAGCATCTTGCGCATGACTAAAAATTCTAAAAATGCATGTTAAAAGATGGCAAATTTTCTCTACACCTTGTGGTTTTTTACCTATTAAACTCCCCTGCGTCTCATGTTTTCAATTTAAATTTTTTAAAGTTTTCAGGTTGCCGTTACTCTCACATCTTATAATTTAGTTATTGTTGGTTTCATGAAATGCAAATTACACATAAAAGTTAATTAATTAATTTTTGTTTTAAAATATTTTTATTACAAATTAATGGATGTTGTTTACAAGATCATTTTAACATATCAAAATACAACTGGCATTATATAGTGTAATCGGAATTTCAATTTAAATTTTTTAAAGTTTTCAGGTTGCCCTGTTACTCTCACATCTTATAATTTAGTTATTGTTGGTTTCACAAAATGCAAATTACACATAAAAGTTAATTAATTAATTTTTGTTTTAAAATATTTTTATTACAAATTAATGGATGTTGTTTACAAGATCATTTTAACATATCAAAATACAACTGGCATTATATAGTGTAATCGGAACAACATAATTTTTGCAACCCCAGAGTCCAGATAATTTACAAATGATTCACAAAAATAGTCAAAAATATTAAAAATAGTCCATCCTAGAATTATTTATATTTGTTATTTCAGTGGCATTAAGCCCATTAGCGTCTCATGTTTTTAAAAACGCAAAAATGCTTTCTTTGTGAATGGCCTTTTAATGTGCATCACTGTCATGAAAACAATGTCACAATGCAACAATTGTGACATTGTGACAAAAGTTTTCATTTTCTTTAGGCAATATGTAATTTCTTATTTTGGGGTTCAATATGACCCCGGCTTTACAGTTTTCATGATATTCACCCTTAAGACTCATTGTGAGAAAGCACACATCTTACCCAAGGATCACACCACCAGCCCTCCTCAACACACACACACACACACACACACACACACACACACACACACACTCGCTGTTAGTGGGGCATCAGAGTGTGAGAGATAGATGAAGGGGTAAAAATAACCTGATCCCCTCGAGACTTTTACCACACCCTCATACAAAATGTACAGAGAGATAGAGAGCGAGAGTCTGCAGGTCGACTTCACACACCTCAACACTCACGTCCCTACAATACATTGAATCGCCGGAAGACGTACATTCCAGCACATTCATAAGTCATGACCAAGATCTTTAAAAATGCAACGTTCATGTTAAATATAAAGACCTTGATTGAATATTGCAGAATAGAGACAAAGAGATGCACTACCCATCAAAAGTTTGAGGTCGGTAAGATTTTTTTTTGGACTCTTCTGCTCACCGAGACTGCATTTATTTAATCAAAACACAGTAAGAACAGTAAAATAGTGAAATATTATTACAATTTAAAATAGCTGTTTTCTATGTGAATATATTGTAAACTGTAATTGATTTCTGTGATCAAAGCTGAATTTTCATCATCATTACTGCAGTCTTCAGTGTCACATGATCTTCAGAAATCATTCTAATATGCTGATTTGCTGCTCAAGAAACATTTCTGATTATTATCAATGTTGAGAACAGTTGTGCTGCACAATATTTTTGTGGAAACCGTGATACATTTTATTTTTCAGGATTCACAGATGAATAGAAAGTTCAGAAGAACAGCATTTATTTGAAATATTGTGTAACATTAGAAACTTTATCAATTTAATCTACACTTGCTGAAAAACAGTAATTTCTAAAATAAATAAATAACACTCTTACTGACCCCAAAATTTTGAACAGTACAGTATATGGGTACAATAAAATAAAATGCCTTATTAAATGTATTAAAGACGTATTAAAGAGGTCATTCAATTGCTTTTCAGTCAGAACTACTCGATGAGGTACGTAATGTAAAATAAATATCGACAAGCAGAACAGTATATTCTTCTTTGTACACAAATTTCCACTTAAAAACATACTGACACCGCTGTGCAATTTTGAGTTTTCTTCCATGCCAGGATATTATTCTGCCAAAAGAAAAACGCAAGTCACTGCACACTTTGTCAGAATGAAATTACGACCAAAATCAGGTTCCTCAGACTGTGATCGGACAACTTTGACTCAACTTCACTCAGATTCAGAGAAAATAGGAGTGAATTCAATTCCGCTTTCACTGCTCTATTTCAGATAAAGTGCCCATAAAGACTGCATAAAAACAAAACAGTCATGTGTTAATGCATTTGCAATGTCTGACATAAAAAAACAAGACAAAAAATGAATCGTTTTTGCAGCTTAGTCTCAATAAGAGTTCTTTTTGACCTGAGTTTGGCAAGTTCTCATGCTACATCAAACTCTTATTTCAGAAGATCAAGGAAAATTAGATTTTTCATGATGTGACCCCATTAAGTGCTTCAAGAAACAAGGACATAAAAAGCATTTGTGACAAATGATGGAAGAATACAGGAGGAAAAAAGGATTTAGTGCATGAATTGTTCCTTTATCCTGTATTTTCCGCATCATTTCTCAGTTTCACCTGGTTTTTTCAGTCTGGTATGGTCTGCCGGTACTCACCTTCCCCCACAATCCCAAGAACCTCAAACCTGTGCATCACATCACTGGAGGCTGGGTTCCTCATCCAGTCAAACGGCCGCCGGGCGACAGAGGAGGAGCTCACGGGGGCGAGCAGTCATCGTGGTTACGGGCTGGCATGGGGCGGCCTGGTGTGGAATCATGGGAAGGAGCGGATCACTGAGAGCCTTTGAGCATGATGATGTCCGTCACACACACACACACACACACCTGCACCTGAGGAAACACACAAGACACATCATCTAGATGTTTCAATAACAGGGCATTGCTATGCTGTTGCTAAGGTGTTCTGAGTGGTTTCTAGTGCATCGCTATGTGGTTGCTAGAATATCAGATATCTGCCAATGAAAGAAAGAAAGAAAGAAAGAAAGAAATGCCAAAACCTAATACAAAATATCTGTCAAAACTGATAAATAAATATAAATATAAATAAATAAATAATGCCAGAAATGTCAAATATGTGTCAAAACAAACAAATAATTAGATAAATAAATAAAGCTGGAAATGTCAAATACCAGCCAATACTAATCAATCAATCTGCAAATACCAAGTAAAATAAATAAATAAATGAATAAATAAAGCTGGAAATATCAAATATCTGCCAACACCGATAAATAAATGAATAAAAGAATGAATTAATGAATAATAAATAAATAAATATTGCCAGAAATATGAAATATCTGACAATACTAATAAATAAATAAATAAATAATGCCGGAAATATGACATACCTGCCAATACCGACCGAAATACCCGGCAAAACCGATTTGAAATTGCCTTAAAAAATTAAATATTGAATAAATAAAATATTGCCAGAAATATTAAATATCTGCCAATAACGATTAAAATATAAACAATATTGCCAGAAATATCAAATATCTGCCAATAACAATTAAAAAAAGAAAGGGAAAAAAACCAAATATTGGCCAAAATAAATAAATAACTAAATATTGCTGGAAACATCAAATATCTGCCAATGCAGATCAAATCAATCAATTAATAAATAAAATATTGCCAGAAATATCAAATATCAGACTAAATAAATAAATAATAATGAGCGAATGAATGAATATTACCTGAAATATCAAATATTTGCCAATATCGATAAAAAAAAAAACCGATATGGAGTCAATTTACTGTGCGTCTCTAATACAGTTTATACATGACATCATCTGTTTACGGTGGTGCCAGAAAACCAGCATATTTGCTTCAGAAAGGCTCTGCATGGTAAAGGTTCGTCGGTTTTAATTTAGGGCTGGACAACCTGTTTGTCCAAACCATGGAAGGCTAGAAACCATTCTGGTAACCTGTTTGAGCACAATCATTATTTTTGCCAATATATTTGGTGATGAATAAACTGACAAAAAAAGATGATGTGATTTTCCTGGAGCATCTCGTTTCAATCAGATGTCCATGTGGTGTTTCTGGGTGTCAGAACTGCACTACTCACAAACAGATGGATGTCTTTATGTTCAGTCTGCATTTGAGCGTGTTTCCGCTGGCATAGAGTTACTGCATGTCATCACCTTAGACCAAAACGGCAACAAATCAGCGGTGAACTGAGGTCTGGGACTCGCGAGACAGACACGTCACATCACATCAGTGTGATTACACTGACAACACAGATCAGGAAAACAAGCACACTTTCACTAATGTCACACACACAGACGACTGCGTCAACATGACATGACGATCACATTATGATGGGTAGTTCATCTGCGATTGCTTCATTTTGCGTCTGTCCTGAGCCAAACGAACGAAAGAGTAGAAGAGACTCAGGAGGTGAAATACTCATTTTTATATAGATGGATTTTATTTTTATTTTTATTTAGATGGATTATAATGATTTTCTAATAAGCTTGAAATATCAAATATTTGCCAATATTGATTAAAATAAATCAATAAATATCCCCCAAAATATAAAATATCTGCAAATACCAAATAAATAAATAAATAAATAACCCCAAAATTTAAAATATCTGTCCATACAGATTAAAAACATTTATTAATTAATATTGCCAAAATATGAAATATCTGCCAAACACATTAAAGAATAATTCTTGCACAAAATGTGAAATAGCTGACAATACCAAATAAATAAATAAATACCACACAAATTGTGAAATACCAATACTGATTAAAAAATAATTAATTAAATATTGTCAGAAATATCATATATCTGCCAAAACATTAAAATCAGTAAATGATCAATAAATACATAAATATTGCCCAAAATATCTGAAGCTTAAAAAATTTAAATAAATAAATAAATAATCACCCAAAATAAGAAATATCTGTCAGTACAGATTAAAAAACAAATAAATGTTGCCCAAAGTATTAAATATATGCCAATACAACTTAAAAAATAATTAAATAAATAAACAAATAAATAAATAAATATCGCCAGAAATATCAAATATCTGCAAATACCGATAAGTAAATGAATAAATAAATTAATATAATTTTTTTTTTTTATCATATCAGGAGGTGAAATAATCATTTTGATTTCTCATAATTTAGATTTAGCTCCATTATAATAATTTTCTAATTCAGAATATGAATGAACCTGTTTGGAGAATTTGACAAATGAAAATGTAACATTTTAGGTTTAATATATTTTATTAGTCTTAAGTTTTACTTCAGTTTTAGTTTTTATTTCCATCAAGTAAGTAATTATATTGCTTCATCTTATTTCTGTTGAACATTATCCATTTAATAAAGTTTATTCAATAAGTTCTCAAGGACTAATATTTATTTTTTTTTTTTTTTTACAGCCAAAGTAAGTTCAAGAAATGGATTTCCGTCTTCGTGACCCTTGATGAAGCTCTCTGAGAGAGTGAATGCCGCGGCTCAGAGCTCGACGCAGATCCTCCCGTCACATCCCGTCTCCAAGAGTGCATCGTGCACAGACAAATGAACAATAAAAATGCCAAAGCTGCCTGATTTTTTTACTGTGTATGAGCTCTGAACTCGGACTAATTCAATCAAGCCTCTCTGAAAAGAGCTAAAATACAGCAGTCAGTCTATAAATGTCAGAAATAGCAGACCAGCAAACGCTTGGGCTGAAGAAAATTGCAGTTTTGCAGCACAAACGCTTTCGGCTGTGAGTCTGCCACAGATTTGGTTAAGAATGGCGAGAGGTTTCTGAGCGGACATCAAAAACGGGGGGTTCAAAGGAGATTTGAGTGTGACGTTCGGCCGGTCAGGCAGCCTGTTACTGCTCACGAAGCTAGAAACAAACGAATCTTCTTTGAGGTGTTCTGGTTTTAAAGCACATCTGACTGGACGACACCGACTGAAACACATCTAAACTCACTGTGTGTTTCTGGGTTCAGTCCCACAGAATGAGAACACGTAAGGAGGACGAGGGGGAAAAATGACAGAGAGACGACTATAAACGCCTTCAGAAGAGAAAACAATGACCGGCCTTCTGAAATCATTTGCATTTCTGCTTGTTTTCAGAGATTTTTGTAATTCCTGAAAAGGCTATGCTTTGTCCAACTGACACTGCGTTTCTTTATTTGTGTGAAAGTGTTTGTCTTTTCCGATCAGACTTGAGAACAGTTCATTTTACTTGCTTATTACACTTGTATTTTAAAGCTCAACTGCGTCTTTTCAGTTTTAAATAAGGGGTTTCAAACAGGTTTCCCGAACACTCCCCACATCTGCCATTGTTTAGCCAAACAGACAGTCCTGCCCCAAACTCGTGCCATTGGTCGAGTCAATAAGGGCCATCCAAGATTAGGATGAGTTTGTTTCTTCATCAGATTTGGAGAAATGTAGCATTGCATCAGTGTCTCAGCAATGGATGCTCTGCAGTGAATGGGTGCCGTCAGAATGAGAGTCTGATAAAAACATCACAATAATCCACAAGTAATCCACAGCACTCCAGTCCATCAGTTAACATCTGGAGACGACAAAAGCTGAAACAAATCCAGCATTAAGACGTTTTTAACTTCAAATTGTTTCTTCCAGCCAAAAATGAGTCCATAATTCATAATAAAAAGTCCAGTGAAAAAGTTTTCCTGTTGTCTCTCACATCAAAATCCAGCCACATATTTGTTTAGAGCTGTTTAAACGGTGCTTGATCTGTGCAGATTTCTCTCCTGA